CACATATATGTACATATATTTACATATAATATAGGAAAACGGCCAATTTTATATATGTACATATATGTGCTATTTCATATATGCACATATATGTACATATATGTGCTATTTCATATATGCACATATATGTACATATATGTACAATTTCATATATGCACATATATGTACATATATGTACATATAATATAGGAAAACGGCCAATTTTATATATGTCACATATATTTAAAACCTATATCAAAACCTATATTAAAACATATATGTTTATATAGGTTCTTTCCATGTGGGCTTAGACAAACTACTACAGCAGAACTGCAGGCCCATCTTGAACTTCCCCTTCAGTACAATTATTTAAATAGCTGTTTTACGGCTACCTTCCTAACATATCCAACCGCTTCAACAAGCTTCCATGCTCACCACAGTACAAAGACTGCCCTCATCAAGGTGTGTGTTTGCATCTGTATAAATGTAGACAATGGAAGAACCATATTACTGTTATTATTGGACCCCCGTGCAACATTCAACACTGTTGATCCTTCCATTGTATATTAGAGTGCTTAGAAACCTGTACCAGCATTCTGGTACAGCACTGGACTTACTTGAAGGACAGGGATTTTTTGGGGTAGGGAAATTTACTTTAGAAAACATACAAATCATATGTGGTGTTCCCCAAGGGATAATCTTAGGGCCCCTTTTATTCATGTATTTGCAAAACTTAGCTTAAGCTAAATCAAGACAAAACCAAAGTAATAGCCTTTGGACAAAAGAAGAGTGTTCATAAATCGGCACACAGCTGTGGGTATTACAGCTGATAAAATAAAACTCATTTTTTATTGTTGTAAAATGCTTCAAAATTTTCACTTTTTGAGTGATAACACTGAAAGAGGCCGAGTACACTGAAGTGAAATTAAATTACAGATTTCCACAAATTCCTATGACCATGGGTTTATGGGACAAACATTTTTTAAGTCTTATAAAACAATCAAAACAGATAACTCAAATTTCAATCCAAAGAAAATCAGGCTCAAAATATGGAGGTAGTGATGGACTCAGACCTGAACCTTCAGTACCTCATAAAGACAGTAATAAAGTCGGCCTTCTACCGCCCAGAGAATAAAAGAAATAATGTCTCAGCAGGACCTTGAAAAACTATTTAATGTGTCCATCTTTAGTAGATCTGATCACTACAAGGGTTACTTTACAGGTTTGAATCAGATGTAGCTGACCCAAAATGCCGCTGCCCACTTCCTCCCCAAACCTAAGAAGTGGAGCACGACTCCACAGCGCTGAAGGGCTTACATTGTCTTTCAGAGAATAAAGTAAAAAAAATAAATAAATAATAAAACAAAAAAATATATATATATATATATATATATATATATGTTCGTCAATACATAACAAAATGGATAAGCTGCAAAATACATTGCAGACTTCCCATTAGTACATCCACTGCCCAGACCTCTCAGGGTTTTTTTTGCTATGATCTACTCTGTGTACCCAGAACCAGAACCAAACACAGAGAAGAAGCATTTAATACTTATGACTATTGATAAGGAATAAACTCCTAGAAAGCTATAAAAGCTATAAAATTTGCTTTACAATGAGATTAACAAGGCATTTGTTTAGAGTGGGATTTGATGGAGCTATTGTATCTAAATATTTACGTTACGTTTGTAAAAAAAAAAAAAANATATTCTTAGGCAATTACCTGAAGAGAGCTTTTTTATTTTTTAACTGAAGCTTAATCTTAGACTATTAGATTTTTTTCCTATAAATAAAATCTCATTTGCTTAATTTAAACATCATAACAGGCCTTAGAAACATAGCTTTGAATCTTAATTTCTACCTTTTAGATTAAAATGTTGCTCAAGCGAAGCAAAATGAAAGATTAAAAACTCTTGACAAAAGGCTAAGTTTAATAAAAACTAGAGATGATTCAAATTTTATTCCAAAGAAAATTAGCATGCAGTTCAGTACACATCTTCAATTTGATAAAGGGTTGCAGAAGGCTGTAGCCCACCTCAGTTTATTTAGTTCATCTGGAGAAAAAAAAAAATCCAATGGAATGAGGTAATTTATCCAAAATTACGCTGGGGAAGATTCTCAGTCATGCAGATCATAACCATTCCAAAAAAAGAAAATAAAAAACCCCTTTGTTTCCAAGTCTGTAGACATTTTGCTTGCCACCCGAGAAAATTTCTCAATTCAAAATGTCAGGAATAGCGTTGAGTTTGAGGTTTTATACAGTAGCCCAACAAAGCCTTGTTTTTGTTTTGAAAACATGCAAATTGAAAAGGACGCAAGGGTAGGTAGTACCGTTGCGTCACTTTGAAAACCACTGTTTTAATCTAATAGAGAATCTGTGTTGAATCTCTGTCAGGAAAGACAGCAGGAAGATTTGGCCTCTATGGGCAGCTGGCCGGCTGTTTTGGGATTCTCTCTGCCATTTTGCTGCTTATTATCATTGGAATCTGTGTTTATTGTAAGTATGTGAAAACAGCAAAGTCATGAATTAGTATACTTTTGGAAAAATGCCATTACAATGCATCATATATTTCAGTTTCGGTAAAACTTTTAAGGAATCTGACTTAAGTATTTTAAAGTGCCTTGAGATGACATATTTTTGGAATTGGTGCTGTATAATTAGATTTAAACTGAATTTAATTGAACTAATTTAAAGACTGGGGTCTTTGTTTCGGTGAGCAATACATTTTAAGGCTCTTTTCAAAAGATTGCTTAACCACAGTTCATTTAAACCAGGAGGTAAAGTAAAGTTAAACTATCAAACAAAAACAACTAATTAGAATTAAAAAGTCACATGATATTTATTCTTAAACATTTTTTTATTTTATTTTATAGTTGCAACAGTTCAGGAGAGAACTGCAAATGAGTTGAACCAGCTGAAATCAAACCAAAGGATCCTGCAGAAGGAAATTCACAACCTGACCAACCTCAACAACAAATTAAGTTCAGATTATACAAATCTGACTACCGCTTCTGCTGCTTTAAAAAACACAATCACCACACTGGCTGCGGAAAACCACAACCTGACGTTGCTAAATGGAGAGCTGAAGAAAGACAGGAAAAACCTCTCAGATATAATTGAACACATGGAGAAAACTGGGAATGAGCTCAATGTCAGTCGAGCTCAGTGGAGCGTTGAAGCCTATTGTCCTAGAGAA